ACACAGACTTTAAAATAACCATGATCGCCAGGCTCTGTGGCTCAGCCTGTAATCCCAGCACTTTGGGAGGCCGAGGTGAGTGGATTGCCTGAGCCCGCGAGTTCGAGATGCACCTAGACAACTTGGCGAGATCTTGTTTCTACAATAAATAAAAAATTAGCCAGACATGGTAGCGTGTGCCTGTAGTTCCAGCTACTCAGAAGGCTGAGGCGGAAGGATCGCCGGAGCCCAGCAGGTCGAGGCTGCAGTGGCCGGGAGCGTGTCACTGCACTCCAGTCTGGGCAAGAGAATGAGACTCCAACTCAAAAAAAAAAAATTAAAATAAAAATAACCATGATCAATCTGTGCAATAAAATAGAAGAAAAGATACAGAATGTCATATAGAAGGAATCCATAAAAAGATCAAGCAAAAATTCTAGTGCTAAAAATTAAAATAACGGACAGTAAGACTTCAATGGATTCATTTAACAGCAGATCAAACATAGCAGAAGAAAGTGGAAATGAAAGATAGGCATGTAGCAAACGTCCAGGTTAAACGCAGAAAAAAGCAAAAAGAATAGAAAATGCAGAAAAGAACAAAAGAGATTTGGGACACGATGAAAACACCTGACATATGGGCAACTGTGGTTCCAGAGAAAGAAGACAAAATAGAAGAGAACCCGTTTTGAAAGCGACAGTGTCTGAGTCTTGCAAAACAGACGTCAGATCACATTTTCAGACAGACATCTGAACACCAAAAGGGATGAATCCATGGAAAACTGCACCTAGCGATGCCATCTGAAAACAACTGAAAGACTAAAACAAAGAAAAAAAAATTTAAAGCAGCTGAAGGGGAAAAAAACGTATTCCCTTCAAAGGATAATCATGAGAATTATAATTTTCAACTCAAACGGTGAAAGTCAAGATACATTGAAATGATGTCTTTAGAGCACAGTAAGGAGACATCTGGCTCCCTAAAATTCTGTGCCCGGTGAAAACCTCCTTCTTGAGCCAGTCTGTGTTTGTTTAGGAAAACAGAGGATATGCAAGCATGTTTTGCAATAAGGGGCTTTAATTTAGGACTCGGGCTTATATGAGTGTGAGAGGAACAGAGACACGGTGTGGAAATCTGGAGGGCCACAGCAGAACAGAATCAGAAGCCACTTTAGCCGGAACCAGCCAGTGGGCAGGGTGACAACCAAACCCTGAAAGCAAAACAAAACAGCACAAGCAAACGAAACACCCCTGAAGAACAAAGCTGGCAGACATGACTCAGTATCAAGACCTAACAAAGCTACACTCATTAAGACGGTGTGGCACTGACACAAGAAAAGACAGACAGTTCGACGGAATTGTAAGCAGAGGTCCTGGAATCAGACTCGCTCATAAATAGACAACGTTTAAGCTCTCAGCTCGGTTCCTGCCTAGAATAATGGGAAAATGGATTTTATGAAAACTTTCATGGGCTCTGTGAGACACACAGGACATTGAGGCAGAGCGACAGATACCAGTGTCCCCAGTGATGTTTTCACCGCTTGGCCCTGTGTGTTCGTGTAGGCTGTACCTGGCCGGGAGATTAGTCCTAACATTCAAAGCCTACTTACCTGCGTTCCGGGGACAAGAGAAACTTACCTGGAACTCTATGGCACTGTAAAAATGATTCAGTCTCATGAGAGAGAGAATCGCAGGCCTTTGAAGATCACTTTTTACCTTGAAAATGACCACGGTCTTCCAGGTGGTTAAAGATTGGTTTGGGGTGTACGTATATCTGGAATGTACGCAGGGAGACCCTTCCCTACCTCACAGATGGGTCGAAGGACAGCTTAGGAAGGGAGTGAGAAGCCACACCGTGAGCACCACTAACAAGGAGGCTTTTCTCGAGAAAACCACAGGCTCGCCTCACTTGGGTCCCTGCAGTTTCAACCCCGATCCCTGGGTCAGCGTCTCCCCTTCAGTGCCACAGTGTCACAGCGCATGTTCCTGCGGCAAGAGTGGTCCTGCTCTCCAGCTGTCCCCTTGTGCCCCAAAGTTCCTGAAGCTTCTCCATCAGCACTTTGGATTCCGATGACGGGCAGCCTTCGTGGTTTCCCTGGGAGGTAAGTCATGTGACCTGTGACCAGCGGGGGATTTCGACATTACCTAGAGCTGAGTTCTGCTCTGTGGGAGGAAAGGGCTGCCCCGATGGTCGGAGAAGTCAAAAAGTTGGGGCCAGAAGGAACAGATGTTCATTGAGCGCCTACTGATTATCGAGGGCTTAATGCTTCCCATCTGTGTCTTCACTTGATTTTCACAGCACTTCTGTAAAGCAGATTTTCGACTTTCCATTTTGCAGAATGAATTGAGGCACGGAGGGGTCAAGCAACGTGTCTAGGTTTGCCCAGCTAGGAGAAGGGTGTGAGAAGCCACTGGAGTCCAGGAATCCTGCCTCAAATGGCCTGCCCAGGAGAGGGGAAGGCCATGGGCCAAAGAGAGAGGGTGCTGTCCACACAGCTCGGAACAGAGCGAGGCCCTTTCACAAAACTTAGCGCACCTTCACACCACGTTCTTGTGCAACCACTGCATTTCCACTCATCCTTCTGGGCTTTTCCCTGGAGCGGCTTCCCCGAATGCTCCTGCACACGGGGTGTCTTCCTCCCTCACCTCCTCTGACCCTGGGGTCCGGTCCTGGCTGAGTGGCAGCCAACGAGGTGAGGCTGGGCGGACAGCTTTTGAGTTGTGCCCACGAGAGGAAGTGTGGCTTGGAGGCGAAGCATTGGGACGATGGAGATGAACAGCCTGGGCTCAAATCCAGGCTCTGCCGTATACTAACAGATTGTGCCTTGGTTTCCTTACCTGTAAGACGGCACCTCCCTCTAATGACCGTCAGAAATAGTGTGTTGACGTCGGCACAATGAACCTAGGGCCTGTCGTGTTCCCTGGGCAGTTCTGGATACAGAAGTCAGAAGTCCTGAAAGATCGCCCCATCATCTGTGAGCGTTAATGAATATCTTCAGCCTTCGATTGCCTTGGTCTCCACCAGGTGCCACGTTATCAAAGAGACAGCAGGGAGGCATCTTCCGGCTGTGGTTTCCTTTCATGGGGAAGGATACACGTGGCCACCTGCAGCCATGGGCTTAAATCCAGCGTGGCCGCCCTCAGAGGGGCCGGCCACCCCTTCCCGGGCACGTCTGCTTTCCTGGGCATGTTCTTGACCTCTAAGGCTTGTCCTTGCTGCTGTCAGGCAGAATGTATTTGACTTGCTTGCTTCGTTGACTGCCGGCCTTCCCGACAAAACGCAAGCAGAAGGCGGGGCCTAACGTCTGCTGTGTTGGCTGCTGCGTTCCCAGAGCCTGGCCCGTGGGAGGTGTCTGGCCATCTGCGCTGAAGGGGTGGGGGCAGCTCTGTACGCCATGCCGTCGGGGCACCTCCGTGGGTCCCGGCCGGCCCTCACCTTGGCCCCCACTCAGTCCTACCCCTGCCCAGCTGTCAGAGGCCTTCCCATCACAGTTTGGTCCACGTCCACATCTACCTGCAGCCTCCAGCCCTCCCCACCATGGGCCAAGCCACACCCTCCCCAGGCGCCCGAAGCCCCCCGCCTTTTACCTCCGACTGCCCCTCCAGCACGGCCCTCCGCTGGGACCCCGCAGACACTTCTGTGGTTGCTTAGCCAGCTTCCCCCCTCCCTCAGAGCATGGCTTCCCCTTCCTGTCCCCGGTGGCCTTTGCCTGTGGTGTCTCTTCCTGGTCTTCCCCGAACAGCACTGCTCTCTTCTCTTTCCTTAAGGCATACCTGAGTTTCAAGATCCAAGGCTCGCCTCCCTGGGCTGGGCGGGGTTTTCTCCCACTGTGCTGCCTTTGGGGAAGGCTCCCTTGAGACACCCGCCCCCTGGCACCACCCTCCGGGCCGTGGCATGGACTTCACTGGAGTGATGGGCGTTGGCATCGTGTGGTACGCACATGTGGCCGCGCGGGCGTGTGCCCTTCTGCTGCCACCAGCTTTGGATGAGTGCCTCCAGAGGGCACCCTGGGAGATGGACTTCAGACCCCACAAGGATGCTCCAATGCCTTTGAATATGGCGCCCATTCCGCCTGCTGGCTCTGCCCTTGGCCGTTGCCCCTACCGGCCATGCTGACCTTCCCTCTTTCTGTGGGCGTGGGCTTGGGCTGCCCTGGGCGCTGACACTCTTTCCTTGTCATTGCGTTTGCCTTCCTGGCTGGGTTGATGCCTGATTGCCCCAGCCCATCCTAACGCCCTTGCCTGCATGGAGTGTGGTCCAGCTTCCCTCACAGGGATCCAGCCCCGAACATCCGGGCGATGCCCTTCAGGACCACCTCCCTTGGCCGTCAGCCGGATCAGCCACCGTGAAGAGGGAGACTCGCTTGTTCCTCCTGGTGTCCTCTGTGCCCCTGACTGTGACTCTTACCCAAAGGACACTCCACAACTGTCTACAACAGTGGGGGTGGGTGGGCATCTCCCAGGAGGCTGTAACACGAGGGCTGTTCTTATGTCCGGCTTTTTTTTTTTGAGTTGGAGTCTCACTCCGTCGCCCAGACTGGAGTGCAGTGGCTACTCCCAGCCACCACAGCCTCGACCTGCTGGGCTCCGGCGATCTTTCCGCCTCAGCCTTCCAAGTCACTGGAACTACAGGCACAGGCTACCACGCCCAGCTCATTTTTTGTTGTAGAGATGAGGTCTCGCCAAGTGGCCCGGGCGGGCCTCGAACCCGCGGGCTCAGGCAATCCACTCGCCTCAGCCTCCCAAAGTGCTGGGATGACAGGCTGAGCCAACGAGCCCGGCCCATGTTTGGCTTTCTAAGTACAGCGAATGCCAGATGTGGGCCGACCGCAGAGTGACTGGCTGGAAGCTGCCCCGGGAGTTGGCCAGCCCTTGCAAGCACCACTCCTCAGTGCCCACCGGCCCAAGGTCAGCTTTATTGGAATCTCGGCCCTCGGATTAATGGGTCCACACAGCAGCCCCAGGCTGGCGCTGGCCTACCTGTTGGGCCAGGGGGAGAGAAGACAGCCCCCCCGCCTCCCACGAGGTCACCCTGCAGCCGGGTTGACAACTTTTCCCAGGAAGAGCAAACTCTGGGTGGTCACCTCCCACAGAAGCAGCAGGAAGGGCCTGTTGAAATGAGCACGGGGGGCCGACGTCACGTTGAGCGGCGGAGGCTGGGCGAGCAGGCCGGAGGTGGCTCCTGCGCTGGTTCCCTTCTCACTCACGTCCACCCCCGCCTTGTGTGTCACCTGGGGGACAAGATGCAGGGACAGCGTCGGTCCAGGGCGCTTCACGGGAGATGCCGCCCTCTGCAGCCCTGGGGAGACGGAGGCTGGGCCACCCCTCCAGCCCTCGGGCCTGCCTGCCCACGCAGTGTCTCCAGCCCGACTTCGTTCCCGCCTCTCTCCAGGTTCCCCAGATCGTGTCCCGACCCCGACGGTGCCCACTGAGCTCCGAGGAGGAGACACAGAGGCCTGCGCAGGGCTGGGGTTGCCGAGAGGTACCAGGCCGCGAAACCCCACGGCCACTCTTGGGAGCGTTTCCCAAGCTCCCGAGTCCACGTGGCACAGGTCTGGGGTCGTTTTCTGCCACGAGCTTAGGCTGAAGCTCTCTGAGCCTCAGGTTTCTCCGGTTGTAAGTGGTGGGCTCAGTCTACATCAGCGGGGCTCAGAATGAGCTCAGTGGAACCCAGATGTCTGACGTGCCAAGGCCTCGACCAGCCTCTGCGTGAGGACCTTTCTAAGCTTCATTTTTAAAGTTGAAAAAATATCGGCCCTTTCATTTCTGAAAAGCTCCACGGAAATATAGATCTGGCCAGGCTCTGTGGCTCAACCTGTCATCCCAGCACTTTGGGAGACCGAGGCGAGTGGATTGCCTGAGCCCACGGGTTCGAGACCCACCCGGGCAACTTGGTGAGACCTCGTCTCTACAATAAATAAAAAATTAGCCGGGTGTGGTGGTGTGCACCTCTACTTCCGGCTACTTGGGAGGCTGAGGCGGAAAGATCGCCGGAGCCCAGCAGGTCGAGGCTGCAGAGGCCGGGAGCGTGCCCCTGCGCTCCAGTCTGGGCGACGGAGTGAGACTCCGACACAAAAAACAAAAAAGAAAATATAGATCTAGTTCACTGTGAAAAAATTATTTAAAAAGTGAAACTATTTCTTCTCCTTCTTGCTCATCTCCCAACACACACGCGCGCACACGCACACACACACACACACACACACACACACACACACGCCCATATCCCCGCTGTCTGGGCTGCACAGTCAATCCTCAGCTGATCTTTCCCACATGAAAGGCAGAATCTTTCTCTTTTTAAAATAAAAAAATTAAAAATTAAATAAAAGAAAGAACCCTTTTCTCATGCATTTCCCACTCAGATAGTAATGACAACTCTGTCCTGAAGTCAAAAGGACCCACGAAGCTCAGGGGAGAACACTTGCATTACCATTCCCAAATCCCAACTCTTCCTTCCTGTCCCAGAGTTCTGAATCCTGGGCCATCTCCCAAGACTCGGGGTGCCTCCCCCCGGGAGGGGAACACAGCCCGCCCTAGGACTGTTCGTCCTGGTCGTGGGACTTGCTTCAGCCACGGCAATGAGTGGCCACGGCGGAGGCATGTGAGAGAACCATTAAGAGCCACTGCACGGCTTCTCCTGCCTGAGAATGGCATGTCCCAAATACGGACTTCTTTAACCCATGCCCTGGAAAGAAGAGCACGTGTGCAGAGCTCTGCAGCTGTGGCAGTGACCGGCTTCTGACTGGTAACGTGACCCGGAAATGCACCTTTGCTGGGGTAAGGCTCTTAGACTCAGGGCTATTTTGTTACTGCTGCAAAGCTGGCTGATGCACCCCTAGTTTCTGTCCCCTAGTTACTCTCTAGCGCTAGAGCAAAGGCAGATGGAGTTTCACCGCAGCCCTGGGAGGAAGGATCGGGGATAAGAATGAAATGATTCCACACCCAGGGAAGCCTTGGCTCCCCGGGTGACCATCAGTGAGGATTCTACTCTGTTCAGAGCTCTGTATCCCACCCCGAAGAGACCTGGACAAAAGGGAGGCGGAGAGGGAGCTGCCCGTGCAGGGAAGCCTTAAGGTTATGATACTAAAGAATCTGAATAGGAAAACCCCCAGAGAACTTGACTTTCCAATGACGTGCCACGTGTCAAGGAGAGAGACCTCCCACCACACACACCTCACCCGCCACCTTACCCTGGAGATGGTTCTGCTGAGCTGCCCGGTGATTCTGGACAAGTCCACTTCTGGGGTGAATATGTGGGTGAGACCCACTCGGGGAAGTATCTCTTCCAGGTTGTACGTTCCAGAAATGGAAAGCCTTGGCAAGTGCAGGTCCAGCAGGCTGGAGGGAGAATCAGAAAGAGATGCAGCTGTCTTGTTCCATCCCGTCTCGCCCTGCCTGCTGGGACCCCCAGCTGAGGGAGAGAGAAGTTTCTCAGGCAGGGGGCCGTCTGTCTTCCCATGACACTGCTTGCCATGGAAGAATGCTCCACGCCCCGTGCCCAGAGCTCCCTCCTCGGCGGACCTCATGGAACACCCCGTGGCTGGGTCTGAGAAGACTCGGGCACAGCTATGGCTTCATCATCTTTTTCACGTTTTGGGAGGTCTTTCTAGGGGCCCAGTGCTGGCCAGGTGTTTACAGGCCTTCACAGATGGAATCCAGCTCACAACCCTATAAGGTAAATGCTGATAGCCTGTTCCCACCTCCACTCCCAACTCATCAGCATGTTCTACTGGCTAACTCCTGAACTATAACCTAAATCCACCTACTGACGTGTCCCCAGGGCAAGCCAATGCTATCTCTCACAGCCATCTCAGCTTTCTCTGGTTTCCCTGGACGCCCCTCCCCTGGCCAGCTCCTTCCTTTCTTGGGATGTGTCTTCCTTCAGGGGTTGCTCTGGGCTGAAGTCTGGTCCTGAGTTCTAGCTGCTGCATAACAAGGCCTTGACAACCAAGTGGCTTAAAACAACCGCCTTCCTTTTCTCTGCAGGTTAACTGGGCTCAGCTGGGCGGTTCTCCTGCTGGAGTCAGATGGTAGCTGGGGCTGGAGCTGCCGGAGGCTCCTTGACTGTGTGTCTGGCTCTGAACCAGGCTGGCTGGACACAGTGAGGACCGAGCCGGCACTCTGTCTCCAGCAGCGTCTCCACAAGGCCAGCACAGGCCAGCAGCTCTGCCCAGTAACCCGTCTGAGCTTCAGTTCTCTCACCTGATAAATGACACAGTGATGTCCCCTCCCTGGGGCCATTGTGGGCATCTGATGAGGGACACGGGTGTCGGGCGGGGAGCGCCTGTCAAGGGAATCACGCTCCCTCTGGCAGGTGGGCCTTTGCCACCAGATGGCCACCTTCTCTGGGTCAAGTTCAGAAATGTCTTTGGACCCAGAGCAAACCTGATCTTTTCTCCCGGGAATGACTCTTCCCCTTAATTCTGGCTTGACAATTGCCTGGACACCTGCAAGCTTGACTAACTAAACACCAGCTTGGAAGCTTCTGTTGTTCATGAATTCAGCCTAGAGACCAATTCAGATGAGAGACTCCCAGTGAGGTGGAAGGAGAGAGGTGAGAGGTCACATGAAAGTGGCACCATGGTTTTTACAGTGTCCTTGTTGATAGTCAATTCCTTGGAAAATGTTTTAGTTCAAAAAGAAGCACGTTTTAACGAGACACGCTGCTCTGCAGGAAGCCATGATTATTCTTAGGAATTTTTCTTGGTCTGAGTTTTTGGCTACACTTAATCACCTTCCGGCAATTTATTATTATTATTATCATTATTATTATTATTGTGGGGGAGAAACAGAGAAGCAGAAGGAATGGAGCTTGGGACCAGACAGACCCCTGGAAGGTGCAGCAACAGCCAGTGCGCAGTGAGCACGTGTTCTACACACCAACCCAAGTTCTCTGTAGTGACTCAATTAAGCCTCCAAGTAACCCAGTGAGGAAAGTGTCACATCCTTATATATTTTTTTCATTTTTATTTTCGATTTGGGGGCATGCATGTATGTTACATGGGCATATTGTGTAGTGGTGGGGATTGGTTCTCAGGTGGCCCGTTCCCCAGATAGAGAACACTGCACCCAATAGGTAATTTCTTTTTTTTTTTTGAGTTGAAATGTCACCCTGTCGCCCAGACTGGAGTGCAGTGGCATGCTCCCAGCTACCGCAGCCTCGACCTGCTGGGCTTAGGTGACCCTTGTGCCTCAGCCTTCCAAGTAGCCAGAACTACAGGTGCGCGCTACCACGCCCAGCTCATTTTTGATTTGTTGTAGAGATGAGGTCTCGCCAGGTTGCCCGGGCTGGTCTTGAACCCGTGGGCTCAGGCAATCCACTCGCCTCAGCCTCCCAAAGTGCTGGGGTGACAGGCTGAGTCACCAAGCCCGGCCCCAATAGGTAATTCCTGAACCCTGACTCTCCTCCCCCGTTCATTATCCTAAGTGAATGACCCAGAAACAGAAAACCAAACACCGCATGTTCTCACTTATACGTGGGAGATAAATGGCCACCCGGGTGCAAATAATAGACATGGGGAACACCAGGTCCTTACTTTTACAGCTGAGAAAACCCGGGGCCCCACGAGGTGAGACAATCGCCAAGACCACCCAGGCGGCAAAGGGCGAGAGAGTGAGCCCAGCCTAGAAGCTGGACTTCGGCAGTTGGCGTTGACCAAGGCCGCCCACGGTCCTGATCAAGGCCCTTCCGCTCCGGCACATACCACATACCTGGGCAGGAGCCGTCGGCTCCATTTCCTCAGGGTCTCCGGCTGCAGCGCGGCCTCTACCTGCTTCATTTTCCCCGGGTCGGGGAGGATCAGCAGCGCCCGGGCATTCCCGCTGTATTCTATCTGGAGGACGGTGCACGCCACCTCCTGGTCGTAGAGGAATCGGTGCATTTCCCTCTGGTGCATCATGGGGACCTGCAGGGAGGTCCTCTCGTCCACCAGGAAGCTCTCCTGTTTCGGGGTGTGGTAGCGATGGAAAGGATGCTTCCACTTGGCTGAGGACAGAACCCGTGGAACCGTGAGGCCACATTTCAAGAGAGTAGCTCTGGGCAGACATACACACAGCCGCCCTGGCCCAGTGACTTTCTCTCAGGTGCCAAAGCCTGAGACAAGGATGTGGCAGGAATGCAGACCGAGAGACCCGAACTTAGACCTGGCTCCGTCACTAGGGCGGGTGACCAAGGTAAGCTCTAATGGCCTCTGACTTGGTTCCTTTTCACAGGAACCTAGCTTTGAAGGGGCCGAAAGGTATTTCTGCCCGTAAAGCACCTTGGGCCGCGGGCGCACTTCTTGGGCCAGGGGGTACCTGATCTCAAAGTGAGACCCAAACTTTCCCTCTACAGTGACCATTTGTATACCCAACCCTGAATGGTACCCCACATCTTTAAAATAAAAATTTTAAAAACTTGTCACAAAAGTTCCTAAGAAATGAGGATGATTATTCCCAAGTCAGGAAGAGGAAATGAGCCTTTGTGAAGTCATTTAAACATTCCAGTCTGCAGAGCCATGAGGTGTCAGCCGTGGGATGGGAACGCCGCCTGACCCGGCAGCTCAGGCTGTTTGCAGAGTCGACCCTCCAGACAAAAGCCTGTAGGGACGCTCAGAGCGTCTCCCTTCACCCGCTCACTCCTGCTCCCTCATCGTCAAACTAAAAGATGAGAAAGAGTTCAGTTAATGGAATGTCTGCACGGTGCAAATGCCATTCAAATGCAGTTAGACATGCAGAATCTGTGGGTCATGGTCACGTCCACACATGCCGCATCTTCTCTTTTAGTTCTAATAATCCGTCCTCACAACCACTCCAGAAAGCGCTGGTCTTGATGATGGGAGGGGAGGACTGGGCATTCTGTCTTGCATGCCCAGACCTAATCAATGATCAAATATGGCTGGCGGTACGCCCAGAGCCACAACGTGGTTCAAGGCCACCGTCATGCTGACTCGGGATCGCTTTGAGACCCTCCCAGCTGGTCGCTCCTCTCCAACCCTTCCTCCCCTCCAAACCATCTTCTGAATTGTAGCCCACCCAACTTCCTAAAGCAGATGCGACTGAGTCACTCCACACTTAAAACTCTTGACGATCCTGAGGTTCCTGGGTAAAGTCTAGGGTCCCAGCAAGGTTCCTGCTTCCTCCTGCATTACCGCTCTCGACCCTTCCCTGGAATTCTTCTACCGTGTTGATGTTCCAGCCCTGCTAATGTGTTTCAGTTCTTCGAACCCGCAGGGGTCTGCCTCTTCCCTGGACCTTTCCCCATGCGGCTTTTCCCAACCTGAACCCTCATTGCCTGAGTAGACAACCCGCTTCTCGTGTCTCATGGCTCTTTTGCCAGGAAGCCTTCCCTCCTCTCTAAGTCCAGATGGATGTCTCTTTCGAGAGCTCCATGGAACCCACTCAGCATCCTGCTGCGTGCGTCCCCTCCTCACCTGTTTCCGATCCACATGGACCGAGCCACCCAAGGATGGGAACACTCGGCCTGAGTTACAGATTTCCCCAAGAGGTCAGCCAGGAGCCTGTTGCCGTCTCTCTGCAGAGAGACCATCTACTTGCCGCCTGGGCAGGTCCTTACCTTTGAAGAAGATATAATTTGAGATGACCAAGAGCGTGTCTCGGTCGAGCTCCTGGAGGCAGTCCGCGATCTGCCCATATGTCTGCTTTCGCACGTAGTCTTTGATCTGCCTCCCGGTGGTCGCAGAGTCCGTGAAGTTGGCAGAAAACGCCAAAGCTCCGTAGAGCTCCTTGCTGCGGTCCAAGAAGCGCTGCTGAGGCTTCAGCTGCTTGTCCAGGAACAGGGAGGTGCCTGCTTGTAGTTCAAGTTTGGGACTGGGCAGGTCGAGGGTGCGGATCAGGTTCTGGAAGCCCTGGTGAATCTCGGCTTCTGGGGTTTCTGTGAGGTTGAAGCCGAGACCCTCCAGGATCCGAGCTGGGGTGTCCGCTTGGGCCCCCAGAGAAAGCAGGGCCAGGGTGGTGGAGATGCCCACCGGGGAGAAGAAGATGTTCCCAGCGGTGTCTGTCGCCAGTTGCCGATACAAACGCAAAGCAAAGCTGGTAATGGTGGGCGTGACCTTGTGGTAGGCGGGGGCTGACGCTGAGAACGGATGGCTGGGGCGTCCAGGCCCCTCCGGATCCTTAACTCCATGGGCCGAAAGGGGCTGACAGTGGACACAGGCCAGGATCCCTGCCCCCAGCAGCCACGTGCAAGCCGGCCCCATCCTCTGAAAACAAGAGGGTGGACACGTCACTCTCCTTCCCAAGTAATGCCATGGTTCTTTACTGCTTATACAGCCACCCCCACTATTCACGCTATGCTCCACGGACCCGCCAAGGACAAGGGCATAGGCAATTAGGGCTCGGGACACTGTCCTCCAAGGCTTCAGCCAGGGCATGACCCTTCACCCACTTTGCATGTTGACAAGTCTCCGAGATGTTAAGTAAAGGTCTCCGGGCTGTAAAAACAAAGAAACAAACGTTCATAGTCTACACTCCCTCCCTTCTCCATTCCTGACTTTATTTTCTTTCTTCTTTCCAGTCATTCTTTAGTCATTCATTCAGTTTCAAGGGTCTAGCTGGTCTGAGAAGTGCATTCAGGCCTCGCTATTCCATGGGGAAAAGAAGTCAGCCAAACCTCTGACTTTGTAGAGTTGGGGTCTAGTGGGGGTGATACTCAAGAGCTTAATAAGCAAACACGTATGTGAGTACCAACCACGAAGAATGATCCAGAGCCAGGAATGCTTCCGGACTCTGCCAAGGGGTGAGGCTGGGTCTCCTGCACCTAGGGGTGGCGGTGACCACGCTCTTACCCATTGCGGGGACAGGTTGATGTGCAAAACTTCAACCAGACCCTGGAAGACGTGCGGCCCCGCGCTCTTGCTGTGTCATTAGCTGGAGGGTGGACGTGGCGGTTGGCTGTTAGTGCAGGAGTGAAACAGTGGAAGGACTAACACGGCTAACTCTGTTTTTGTTGAAGGGGCCTCTGGCCTCTGTTCATGCTTGCAGTAGGCTAGGACAATTTTGAAACTCTGGGAAGATAATGCTGGAACCAGTCTGCCCCAAGTATGCAGCTGTCTGGGCTAAGGGGAGGATGTAGCCACTTAGCATGCGTTGTTCAGACTTACAGGAGCACTGTGACCTGACCAAGGACAGAGAAACTTCCCACCCTCTTCAGACCCTCCCTGGTACCCAGATGTCTGCAGCCATTGGTCACGTCTTGAGCCCATACCAATGGGAACGTTATGGCACATGGCGTTTTCCATCGGAGATACATTTTCTGGTCCATGACATCAGTGGGTCTGAGGGATCCCACAAGAAGCTGACTCCCCGGAGAATGCAGTTTCCACATCCTGATGAAGTGGATCCCAACCAATCAGTGACCACGCTTTTCCAACAGCTCACTCTCACAATCCCCTTGAAAACTCCAGCCCAAATATCTTCGAGGAGACAGTTTGGGGGACATTAGCCCACCATCTCCTCAGGCTGCCTGCTCTTGGGTAAACCCGTTTTCCTTCCACCAACCCTCATCTCTAGAGTTTGGCTTTTGAACATCGAGCTGCGTGGGGACCGTGTGGATGAGGACAGCCCACGAGGGATGGCAAAACAGAATGGATGGCGCCTGGGAGGAGTGGTGAGAGGGAGACGGACTCTGTCTCCATGTCTCCGTCAAGCCTGTTAGCTGGGACGCCTCGTGTCACACGCAGGGGCCGAAACCTCTGTCTTTCTTGCTGCCGGGGTGTTGGGAAAATGCCTGTCATGGCCTGAACTGTGTCTGCCAGAAAGTCATATGCTGAAGTCCCAGCTCTCAGGACCTCAGACCATGATCCTGTTTGGAAGTCGGGCCCCTGGAGATGGAATTCGTTATGTGAAGGTGAGGTCATTAGGGTAAGCCCGTATTCCAGCATGCCTGGTGTTCTTGTAAGAAGGGGCAATTGGGACACAGACATGCACACAGAGAGGGCACCACATGACAAGAAAGGCAGAGACCGGGGCGATGCTTCTACAAGGCAAGGAGCGCCGGAGACCGCCAGCAAACTAGGAGAGAGGCAGCGTGGGAGAGAGGCCTGGAGTTCCCTCCAGCCTCAGAAGGAACCAACCCTGCAGATACCTTGACCTTGGACTTTCAGTCTCAGAACTCTTTCGTTTAAGATACTCAGCGTGCGGAACTTTGTGAAGGCAACCTTTGCAAACAAATACAGCATCTCATGCGCTTCATTTTACGTTATCGATGTGCCAGAAGACACTTCTGTCCACTTCTAGGTGGTCAACATGGTGCAGGAGCTGGAAGGCCCTGGCTCTGGGGCAGGGAACGTGGCCCAGGCTGGAGAGAAGCCACAGACTGGACAGTGTCAGTCCTGCCTGTGTCCTGGGCCCCTCGTTCCCATCAGCCACCTCCACGCGTCCTCCAGAGGATTGCGGCCCCAGTGCCACCTGGACCCGTCCACGCCTTGGTGTCCGCAGAAAGGGGAGCTGTCCCCTTCTGCTCCCTTCAAAACTGGCCCTTCCCCCACTCTGCACACAGCAGCTGTGCACAGCCGGCCACCTCATCAGTGCTTGCTGGTTTATCCTGACACCATTTGGGTCTTAACCAGCACCTGCAATACTTTTTTGCCCAAACCAGCAAAATGGTTTTGCAGACGGTTTATAGCCCCTGGCGCCCTAAATACCCCGCCAAACCACAAGGTCTAGCTGTCCGGGAGGGACAGAGGTAGCCCCGTTATCTACTGTGTTGAAACGCGCTTGCTGGTCAAAGGGCTGCAGGCACGGCCCCAAGTTCCCAAGGCCACAGCCCGCCTCCCTCCAGCACAGCTCAGCGTGGGTGGCTTCAGGACGGTTTCAACACTTCAGATTTTTCTCTTGCTGGAAAACTGAGAAGATGCAAAATGATTGAAAAATTGGTCTGCCCTGGATAAAATAAGGAAAGTGACTGCGATAAGACTATTTCTGGTTTGTTCTTTCTTTTTTCTTTTTTTGAGTTGGAGTCTCACTCTGTTGCCCAGACTGGAACGGCCACTGCAGCCTCAACCTGCTGAGCTCTGGCGATCCTTCTGCCTCAGCCTTCCGAGTAGCCAGAATTACAGGCACGTGCTACCATGCCTGGCTGATTTGTTATTTATTGTAGAGATGAGGTCTCACCAAGTTGCCCAGGCGGGTCTCGAACCCGCGGGCTCAGGCAAATCCACTCACCTCAGCCTCCCAAAGCGCGGGATGACAGGCTGAGCCACCGAGCCCGGCTGTTCTTATCTTGTTGAACTCAGAACCATTTCCTATCCCCACTGCACCCCAAGGAGCCCCAGATTTGCGGGAGGGCCTGCTTCCTAGAAGGGCCTGAATTGTAGGTCAGGGGTCCTGGCTGGAATCCAGGCCCTGCAGGAACTCACTGGGTGACACCGTGCAAAGGAACCTCTTGGAAACCCAGTGTCTGCATTTGCAAAATAAATGTTCTTCTGGGGAGTGAGGCTGCTTCAACACGATATGACCAAGCAAGTAAAAAGGTCATAATCGTAGTTTTCTTCTGTTCTACCCAAGCTGGGTGTAGCGGGACCCAATTCACTGCCTGACACCCTATCCCAGAGGAAAATTAAGAACTCTGTTCACAGATGATCACGCTCTTCTTATTAAGGGTTTATCATGGGATATTAGAGACATTGCATCACTGATTCCCAGCAAGGAGTGGGGAGAAAGTGTGAAGGGAGTCCCGTGGTAATTTGCATCAGCTCAGTGACAGAGTGGGTGGTCATGGGACTGGAGTTTCAGTAGGGGAGAGCCGGCAGCAGAAGCCTCTGGAATGCCCAGAACAGTCACATGCAATGCGGAGTGGTCCTGCCCGGAGGTCCCAGTGCCCCTGCTGAGAGACGTTTGCTTGATCCTATTCAACGCAATCCTGCCATCCCGAAGACACAGGGGTCATCTTCCCCTATTGCACACGGGGGCAGGGGACGGCTGCCTCAGTGCCAGGACAAACACCGGTAAGAGGCAGAAGCAAGGCTCAAGCCACAGACCCAGGTTTCCAAGCCGAATCCTTCCATGTGACAGAGCTTCTAGTGAATCTGCTACAGCAACGTTGCCATTTTGCTTTGAGATGCAGCGTTCGTTCTGTTGTCTTGGCTAAGTGCCAGGAGTATCTGGAACTCCTCTCTCAGATTTCTTGAAGGCCAAGTGTTCCATAAAAGGTGATTGAAAACCTGAACTAATTCCTCCTTCAAGACTCAGAGGCAGTACATGGCTGCATGTTTTCTTCAGGGGACTTACTTCTCCCATCCCTACTGTCAGAGAGATAGAGAGAGGAGAGAGAGAGGCTGAGGCTGAGACGGATAGAGAGAGAGAGAGAGAGAGATAGAAAGGAAGACCGAGGGTGACACAGAGAGACACACACACACAGAAAGACAGAGAGAGTACAAGACAGAGACAGAGAGAGACCGAGTGTGAGACATACACACACAGAGATAGAGAGAGTGAGACAGAGAGAGTGAGAGAGAGACACAGAGAGAGTGCAAGATCGAGGCAGAGAGAAAGAGAGAGAAAGAGACAGAGAGAGAGAGACAGAGAGAGAGAGACAGAGAGAGAGAGAGAGATCAAGAGTGAGACCGAGAGAGAGAGACAGAGACAGAGACAAAGAGAGTGTGAGACAGAGTGTGTGTAACACAGACACACACACACACAGACAGAGACAGAGAGAGAGAGAGAGAGAGACCAAGAGTGAGACCGAGAGAGAGACAGAGAGAGTGCGAGACAGAAAGAAAGTGAGAGAGAGTGTGTGTGAGACAGACAAACAGACAGACACACACACACAGAGAGAGAGAGAGAGAGAGAGCCCGAGGGGGCAGCCGCTGCCTCCGGCGTGGGCACAGCTGGTACTCACAGAGCAGGTGCCGAGCGGGCTGGGCCTTCAGCATGTGCCGCCTCCTTCCACAGGAAATGGGGCTCGGAGTCCGCAGCAGCCGGGTCAATATTTGCCCGGGCCGTTCCTGGAACGGGCACGAAGTCAAGGTGCAGCAAGCAGGAAGGGTCCTCTTCTGAGCGTCTGTCCCGCTGCCTGTCCTCCAATGAGCGCGGGACCCGCGAGGTCCGAGGACGGCCTGACGCCGGCAGCGCCAGCAGGGACGGCGGCGAGGCTGGGCTGGTGCTCTGTGTGGTCCGGCCGTGCTCGGCATGGATCACCCTCGCAACCGAATGCGAGGGAGCCACTGCCACCCCTGCTTTACAGCTGGGAGACTGGAGC